TAACTAGAGAGGCTTCAAAAGCGAAACGTGGTCTATTCACCGCAAACGGGGATGCGATCCTTCCTCTGAAAAGTTTTAATGGACGCTTTACTGTTCGCCGAAAGTACTTTAATTTTATCGGCAATACCAATTATGCATTGCGAGCATATGAATTACGCGTACTCGGAACGTGAGCGTGTAATATATATTACTTGAACTTTCTACCGCAATAACGATGCTTTATGCACCGCTTTTCGTATCATGTTCGTTACACAAAGTATTCCGTGAAAGAATTATATATGAATATATTTCTCGCGAAGCAAAAGATCCTTTTCCCCACGAAGGCCTTCCTTAGAAAGCCTCTGCAATTCGGTAGACTTTAGGCCTACCGATAAGAGAACCCAGGTTCGTAGGGCTTTCCGGTCAACATTATGTATGCATCTTACGCGGGGAAGATACGTGCGGCAAGTACGTGTAATCGATGACCACCTTTATCGCGCCGCGCGATGCGATTGCGATAGTCCGCCCCGTCGATCGTGCTGAGGATTCGTAAAATCGTCGTTAATGCACGGCAGCCCTTGCCCTCCCGCAGTCATTTGACTATGACGATGCAGCCGGGGAGGATGGTCCCGGCATAAACGACATTTCGGGGGCGGGCGCGACGCGAGGGAGGGAGAGGCGGGCGGAGGAGACGTTTTTAGCTGAGTTAGTATATTCGGTCGCTTATGTAATCAATATACGAGGGTGAGAACGAAGAAGAGGTGAAGGAGAGGAATAAGAAGAAAGGCCGGGAGAGGGAGAGCGCGTCGGCGGAAGCGCGAGCTACGACGATAGGAGGGTGCGAAAGAAATAGAGGGAAGTTTATTCCGGCAGAAATACGCGAGGGAACGAGGTAAGGCCAAGATGGAAAAGATGGAGGGATCGTGTGCTTTGTGCCGTTTAAGGGGATGAAAAGTATTGAGAGTATTTTAGGGGCTAACCGATATCGCGCGGTTATAAAAGCGGGTGAGAGTCCAAGTTAATTGCCGAGTGGTAATTGGAAAATAGATTTCTAATGCATTAACGGCAGCGGTCAGTTATTATCGCCCGGAAATATTGATGATCCTAATAGGGTCGCGTCGCGTTTTCAGAGAGGGGGGGGGGTTGCGTTACGAGATATGTTTCCGCGGGGCTGAAGACGCGCTTTCAGAAATTATTTCCGAAAATACGTCTCTCAGCTCGACACTATATCCTTTTTCCCGCCGAACGGCATTTTACGCCATCGGCAGTCCTCCGCCGCTTTAATCTTTCGTATAAGTGGGGTATCTAAATTTTTACGTCTCGCCGGATCGCGTTCGGTGAATGCCGTATAATTCCAAGTTTCATTATTTAGTATACGGCGCGCCCGAGCCAACGTACTCGCGCGCAATGGATATCCCCGCGCGAACTTTCGAAAGCCATAAACATCGTCGCCGCTGCTAAAGGCGGCCGCTAAAAATTATACGCTTTCTCGGACACGCGGCCGTACCCGTTCGGTTTTTCTGAATTATTATCGGTTCCCTAAAATCGCGCCGCAGCTTTGAGCGCGGTTCGAACGATCGGCACGAAAATCTCGCTATCGCGACGCCCGGAGTCGGGCTATCCTCCGCCTGGTGCCTCTCACCCCCCCCCCCCTCGGATTCCCACTTTCAAAAGAACCCTCGGTAAACGTGGACGAGGACCGGGTCTCTCCTAAGCTCCCTTTCGAGCTCGAGTTGGACGAGATCCACGGGAGAAAAAATGGGGGGAGGGGGTGGGGATGGGGGTGGAAGCCTTGGCCGGCTCGGGATGGACCTTCCGCTGACGTCGCCGGCAATCCCTGCGTTCGTCCACCCGAGGAGAGCTCGGCAGTTGCACATCTTGCAGTTTCGGTTTTTGCGGCCCGTTTCGCTCGCACACCGAGACGCGGCATTCGGTTTCGTTGCCTCAACCCCACCTCCGCCACCCTCTCAGCTTTTCCCTTTCTTCCTCCTCCTTCTTCCTCCGCCGCTTTTTTTCTCTCTCCTCTTCTTTCCTCGTACTTCGCCCCTTTCTCCTTAGCTTTCCGCCTCCGGCGCTTTTTCGCCCACCAGACCATGGATACCCCGCCCGTCCAAGCTCATGTCTCTGGTCTACGTCTGTTTCTTGTGT